AATGAAAGGGTTTGTGGCCAAAACTGGTTTGGCTCAGTGGATAGAGAGTCGGCCTGTGGACTGAAAGGTCCCAGGTTCGATTCCAGTCAAGGGCATGTACCTTGGTTGCAGGCACATCCCCAGTAGGGGGTGTGCAAGAGGCAGCTGATGGGTGATTCTCTCTCATTGATGTTCCTAACTCTCTATCCCTCTCTCTTCCTCTCTGTAAAAAGAAATCAATAAAATATATATTTTTTAAAAGGGTCTGTGAAATTGCATTATTCTTACAATTTTTCTGTAATTTGAAATTTTTCAAAATAAAAACATGAAGGAAAAATTTTAGGAGCATTCATTTTCCCCTCAAACCCTTCCCCCGCTTTCCCTTAAGAAAAAAGACAAGAAAAGAAGGTCTTCCAGTTAAATACACCTGAGTCTACCGCACGCACACCAGCCGTGTGAACTCGGCGCCCCCTTTTCCTTAGTGCAGAGGGGCAGTGTTGATGGGCAGCACAAGCGCTTCTGTGGGACCAGGGCAGGCACCAGGGGAGTGACGCCTGGAGCAGGGTGGCCAGCTCCGTGTTCTCTGTGTTCACATTTGCTCTCCTCCCTTCCTCCTGCCCCATCCCCGGTTCACCTCAGAATCCATTACTGGCCTTGGAGGGAGATCTGCTTAAGATAAATAAGAACAACTATGCGTCCTGCAGAGTGCACCGTGGAAGCAATATGACACCCTGCAGGGACACTGGGATGCAGGCTGGCTGACCCTCTGAATGTCAGACCACAGGGACAAAAGTCAGAAAATCATCCACCCGCAACTTGCTGGCTTGTGCCGAGGATTGGAGCTCAGACACTAGCCAGAGCTTCTCAGAGTGGAGTCACTGGCCCATCTTGAGCAGAATCCCCTGTGGTTCCTGTAGAACTGCAGACTCCAAGACCCCACCAGGACCCGAATGGGCTTCTCAGCAGGGAGTTGGGAGTGAGACATTCTAACACTGTCTTCTGGTTTGAGCACTCCTGGCCCTCACCACGGCTGTTGTGTTGTGGATGTGCTACTTTATAGCAAAACTGGTCAACCGAAGAAGTGGATTCCCGTGCTTAGAGCCTAATAATAACATAAAAAGGTTATAGCCGCCACAGAAGCGTCCACAAATGGGAGCAAACGGAAATACTGATGGAGTTGTACATAGAGATAAAAGCAGGAGATTTAGGGAGAAAGCAGTGTTTCTCTCTGAGCTTCACCAGCTCTAGACTCAAAGTGTATGAACGAAATGCTGCCCCAGCCTTTCCCCAGAAGGGAGCCACCACCTAGAGCCCCCAAATCCACCATTGTCTGCACATAAGCACTAACTAAAGGGGTCAGAATGGGCTCTGAGCCCCTCCACTCACCATGACTCTGGGAAGCTGCATAACGCAAACAGCTCCCTTCTCTGGGCGTGTGCAGTAATGGTAATTCTACAGCGCCTTTTAGGCTCCAAAAGCTCCAGAAATTCTAATGACCGACTTGGAGTGTCTCTCCAAGCCATGGCCACTGACCTCTCTGGAGAAGGTCACTCATTGGATGCTAATCTGAGTGAAAGAAGCGAACAGCAATCACCTGGTTTCTCAGCAGCCCGCTGAGGGCTTGTTCATTTGGCTTAGAGGGTGGCTGGGCTCCTCTTTGGAGCTCAGAAGAACAGATCGTGTGGCCACACAAGTTCACCTCTGATCCTGAGAATCCTCTATTCCAAACCAACTCCGGCAGGCATTTACCCACAGGGCCTGAGTTATTTTGGGAGGCTCAACATCCTGTACTCAGCCCTAGGGAGGGGAAGAGAAGGACAGACAATTGGGCAGTCTCCACCCCCTGTCCACCCCCAAACTCAGATTGGGGACAGAGAGCCATTTGCAACGTTAACTCTTCCCTGGCTCTGGCTGAGACCAAGGCATCCCACTTAGAAAAGCCTCCAATGGCAGCATGTCAACCATTTTAATTCAAGAGGGGAGAAAAAAAATAACAAAGTATATCAGGAGAAAATTATGCATGGAAAGTGATTTTCAAAAATTGTCTCTAAATATTACAGCCAAAGTGAAAGGATGGGAATTGCATCATCAGAAAAGCATTTTTTGTGTGTGTGTGGTTTAACACTGAAGAAATAAATCATTTTCCCAACTATAGGACTTAAAGTAATATTTCACCCTTTCAGCAAGTTTATTTTGGATTTTATTTTGGAGATGAGAATTGAATTAAACTCTTTAGATGTATCGTTTCACACACCAGCACACCAAGTCATTCACACTGGAACCCAGGTAAGTGTCATCTCTGAGGTGTCAATGTTTGCTGCATCCCTTCTTTCTCTATTGTTCCCTACAGTGTATAAAGCCCCCTGGAGGGAGCTGGGCCGGCCTGGTCTAGCATCTGGCCTTGCACAGGAGAGGTGCTGGGTGCAAGGAAAAGAGAAAGAGAGGCAGCAAGGAGAGAGTCTGCAATGATTTTACCAGTGTGAACAGGGCCCTTTTGCACGGGGAATGTCTGTGGTTTCTCTGCAGTGTGGTTCATTAAGGCTTGAGGTGATAACTCATATTTAAGAGCCATGATTTGTTAGACTTCTCCTAGATTTAATTCCACACACAGTCACTCAGGGCCTAGCATTTGGTGAGAACTGAGTGCATCCTGGGAGTGGACAGAAATGAATAATGCACAACTCCTACTGTCTGCCCTTCAGATGTCTTTCAAGGACAGGAGAGTCACACATGGTGGGTGCCTGGCATCCCAGAAACCTATCAATCTGGGACTGTGAGACCCCCATAGAAGAAAACCTGATGGCACTGGTGGGCTTGTTTTTAAATCCTCCTCAGCTGCAGAAAACCACTGCTCTGCTCTTGATGGCCACTTGCTTCTTAACCCAAAACAATGCAAAACAGAACAAACACAGCCTTCCTTCTCTGCCTCTGACACCCACCTCCTCCAGTCTGCCAGGCCTGCCCTGGTCCTGGCTCCTCACAGAAGCAGAGGTCAGCCCTGGAGATATCACTGATTTTCACTGCCCCAGCCTTCCTGGGACATGGGCTGACCTACTGTCCCCTAACCTTGTTTCTTTTCAGCCACACTTTTTAAATATATATATATATATATTATTGATTTTTTTTACAGAGAAGAAGGGAGAAAGAGTAAGAAACATCCATGAGAGAGAAACATCAATCAGCTGCCTCCTACACACCCCCTACTGGGGATGTGCCTGCAACCAAGATACATGCCCTTGACTGGAATCGAACCTGGGATCCTTGAGTCTGTAGGCCGACGCTCTATCCACTGAGCCAAATTGGTTAGGGCTTTAATTTCTATAAACAAATTCTATCTCCTCTTTGCCCACATGCTTCAAGCCCCATCTGCTGGGCCTTCAGACTACCTGATGCCTGACCTGAGGTAATTTTATGTCCTCAGACACCTATGGTCCATTTCTGGCTCGTCTGCCCTAATTTGTTCTACTGACAACAAGCTCCAGGTACCAATGGTGGCCTTCAAGACTGCCATCAGAATGATGTTTGGGACTGAAAAGCCTCTGCAACTCAGAGTGTTTTCAACCTCCATAATTTACATTGCAACTGCCAGAGGACAGGCAGTGTGACCATTGAGATGCATCATTGCAAAACAATTCAACTAATTTGCTTTCCTAGCACCCATTTGTACATCAGGCCCCAAAGGATGGAGCCCTGTTCTCATCAAAGGGACTTTCCAACTAGCTCTCAGACTGAGGCTGTAACAGAATCCCCAGGTGGGCTTGCTGAGCCACCCCCTCCACCCCCCACCTCTGGTTCTGAAGAACTGAAAGTCAAAAGGACAATTTGTATTTCTAACAGGCTCTCGGGTAAAGCTGATGCTCTGGCCTAGGGACCTCACTTGTGAGAACCCCATGCTCCAGTCCAGTGGTTTTCAAATCTGGCTCCCCATTGGACTCACCTAGGGAGATTTAAAAACAAACAACAAATGCCTGAATCTACCCTCCCCCACCCCACCCCACCCCTACACACACACACACACACACACACACACACACACACACACACTCCTGCCATTCTGATTTATTATAATTGGTCTGAAATACAGACTGGTCACTGGGCATTGTACAAACGCTGTAGGTAATTCTAATGTTGAGCAGGGGTTGTAAATGTCTGCTGTTGTCCGTTTCATCAGCTGGGCTAGGGGTGGGGAGCCTTCTTTGTCCCCTACAGGGACCCTTGAGATTCCCAGATAAAATATAGGACACTCAGTTACATTTGAATTTCTATAAACAACGAATAATATTTTACTATAAGTATGTCCCAAATATTGCATGGATGTCCTTTAATGTTATTGCTCCCCCACCCAAATATGGCATCCCTACCCTTAGACACTTCCATAACACAGAATGAGAAACAATGACCTGTCAGGTCCCATTTCATAAATATTAGCACCAAGAGCCCCAGAAGACACAGGGGAAGTCTGGACCTCAGTCCAGAATACTTTTCGTTCCATCATACTTAACTGTGCTCAAGGCACTTATACCCTTTTCTTGTTAGGGGGTTATTGTCAGCTGCCTGGATGTGACTTCAAAGGGGTAGATAGGAACTCTGTCTTTTCTACTCCCTTTTCAATTCTCACCTCCACCCACCTTTCTGTTGCAGATATCACAGAGGCTCTCCTGGGCTATGGCCATTCTCAGGGCCATATTCTTAAGGCCACCTCAGGGAGGAAGTGGGCTGGAAGTGGTACCAGCCAGAGACAGCTGTGAGCTGAGAGCCCATAATTGGGTAACACAAGGACAAGCGGGGTTTGGCACAGGCAAACTACAGGCAAAGCATGTTGGGAGAGGCCCACTTAATTCGTAGAGACACTCGGAATTAGTTGTAAATTCTCTGGGAAGAGATCAAGGCAGCGGCATAAACAGCTCAATTAAACTGTCGGCTCAATGCTCAATGTGCGGTAATGGTCAAAACACAGCCTTTAATCTAGATACAGAGGATTATCTTTCAACCAGTAATGAGATTCCTAAGATTAGTTGTACCTGAGGTGGAGGGAACAACAGCTGGCTCAGCGACACTGCAGACAGGCTTGCGTGTCAGCATGGCTGGGACTTGTGTGGAAGAGGCAGCCTGGGCGCCACAACCCTCCTGGAGCCCCATCTGGATGCTAGGAAGACAGGGAAGGTTCTCCTTCTGCTTTCTCCACTTAAGAGACACGGTCTTTGCCTTTTGCAACACCATAGATGGACCTGGAAATTATAATGCGAAGCGAAATAAGCCAGTCAGAGAAAGACAACTATCATATGATCTCACTTATATGTTGAACCTAATGAACAAAATAAACTGACAAAATAGAACCAGAGACATGGATGCATGGCACAGGCTGACAGATGCCAGGGGGGAGATGGGTGGAGTGGACTGGACAAAAGAAGGTAAAGAGAATTGCCACCCATGAACATATATGCATAGCATATGGACACAGACAATAGTGTGGTTAGGGTCTGAGGAATTGGAGGGCAGGGAAGGGTGGAGGGAGGCAAAAGGAGAGAAATTGGAACATCTGTAATAATGTTAATTAAAAAAAAAAATAGCCTGGCTGGTATTGCTCAGTAGTTGGACATTGACCTATGAACCAGGAGACCATGGTTCCATTCCTGGTCAGGGCACATGCCAGGGTTGAACAGTAGGAGGCATGTAGGAGGCAGCAGATCAGTGATTCTCTCTCATCATTGATATTTCTCTCTCTCTTTCTCTTTCTTTCTGAAATCAATAATATATATATATATAAATAAATAAAATAAAGAGAGAGAAAGAGAGAGAGAGAGAGAGAGAGAGAGAGAGAGAGAGAGAGAGAGAGAGAGAGAGAGAGAGAGAGAGAGAGAGATATGATCTGGGGACGGAATCCTAGAACACAGCAAGTCTGACACATTCCCACCTCCAGACCAAAGCTAACAGCCACAAGCACCAGGTCTGAGGCAGACAGAAATGTCAAGCTTTAGCCCTTTGCCATCCTACCCTTCATGATCAACCACATTCACTCATTCACCAAATATTTATTGGGTGCCTACGAGGTGTCAATCACTGTTCTGGAAGATGGAGATATGCAGTCAACAAAGAGGAAAGATCTCTTTTCCATCATGGGGCAGGACAACAAGCATAAACAAGAAAAGTCAGTAAAATATGCTGTGTGTGAAATGGGGATGAGTGATGCCAATTGTTGAGTGGGGACAATTCTAGATATGTTGTCCAAGGGAGGCCTCGCTGAGTAGTGATATTTAAATAAAACCTGAAGGGACCGAGGAGTGAGTCATGGAGACAGCTGGGCAAAAGCACGCCAGGCTAGGAGAGCTAGTGCAAAAGCCCCAAGGAAGAGGCAGCCTGCTTGGAGCAGGAGAAAAGACAGAGATGAGGTCAAAAATTTAAGGGGATGAGATCGTGTAAGGCCGTATGAGCCCTATGAGGATTTGGGAATGTGCTATTAGGGAAATGGGGATTTGATGGGAAATTTAAGCAGAGAGCCATAAATGTATTCTTTTAATAGGATCACTGGCTGCTGAGACAGAAGCAGGGAAATGAGTAAGAGACACCTGCAATGACACAGGCGAGAGATGAAGGACAGTTGGAGGCAGCTGAGATATGTGGTAGGATTCTGCATATTCCTTCCTCATGGGTAGCATGGAGTAGGAATGAAAGGTATCAATGATGATAGTTTTGCTTCAGATCTTCATTGGGCACTAACGACTTCCAAATCTATACTTCTGACCAGACTCCTTCCTGCCCAAGGGCCTGGCACACAGCAGGGAATTGACTAACATTTGGCGGACTGAAATGACAAAAAGTAGATGAGTCTGTTTGGTTGGTGACACAATTTCTCCAGGCCTTTACCAACGTATAGTCTACCTCCTGATAGACTATGGAGGGAGGTACAGAAAAAAGAGCTGCCGTGTCCCCATCTTGGTCTAAAGTAAGAAGTTGAGAGAGGCTGAAACCGGTTTGGCTCAGTGGATAGAGAGTCGGCCTGTAGACTGAAAGGTCCCAGGTTCGATTCTGGTCAAGGGCATGTACCTTGGTTGAGGGCACATCCCCAATTTGGGGGTATGTAGGAGGCAGCTAATCGATGATTCTCTCTCATCGATGTTTCTAACTCTCTATCCCTCTCTCTTCCTCTCTGTAAAAAAAATCAATAAAATATATTTTTTAAAAAGAAGTTGAGAGAGGACAGAAACTGAAACAGGGCCATACCTAACCCTTCCAGTAAGAAAACCATGGAGGGGAGGGCAGCATGTGGGAGGGGGACACAAAAATTTAAAAAAAAAAATGCCAAGAATGATGGATATAGTGTTGGGTTTTTTATGTCAAGAAACTGGGTGCCAATCCCAGCTGTGCCTCTTAACTCAATCTCGTCCCTTCACGGCTCCCATTTTTCCTTCTGAAAACAGAGAGGCGGGCTCTCTGAAAAGAGAGTCTGTCCAGCTGTAAGCCTCCCAGTACGGGGATCCTTTTCCTGCAAGGCCTGTCTCCTCTAATCACCTGACACGCTACTTCTCCAACATTGTTCTTAGGAACGTTGTTCTGTTTCCTTTCAGAATGATGACTCTGACTCTGAGTCTAGTAAGATGTGTCTCTACCAGTTCCCAAAGAAAAACACCCGAGCCTTTTTTGCCTGCTTAAAAGTAAATACCACCTTAGGCCTGTTAGCCCATCTATAAACGGGGAATATACACCAGATCGCTGGGATGCCGAGCAGGGTTAATTACATACAGACCGTGTAGGGGTTAAGCAGACACACAAATGTGCTGGAAGTTCTTGGCATAATACTATAGTATTACAATAATTTTGGCTTGCAAATTACACCCCAGCCAAGGTATCACATGGAAAAGTGGGTCTGATCCCATGGCCTGCTGAAAGTGAAATGAAAAAAACAAGTTGTAAAATATAACGTTTCTTCCTAACCCTTTGAAAAAGGCAGAGACAATGCTTCCATGTGCAACCCACATGCAGAGAACACATTTCCAGATCCTGGAGAGGACTCTGTTGTCCCGGGTCACCTGGCCTATTGCCAGGATCTGCTGATCTTCCTTCCTGAGCCTAGAAGCAGAGATGGGAGGGGAGGGGAGGGAGCCAGAGAAGATTTGTGGTTGGTTGAAAGGTGGGACTTAAATGAGAATGTCCTTCAGTTTTTCTATTCAGGCCTCCCTTACTTGAAGGATAATTAAGTGCTTACAGAGCAGCAGAATGACTTAAAGTGTAATTTGAGATATTTAAGTCTAGGAATACCCAAAATAAACATCTTGGCCAGGTCAATTTCTGGGTCCTTCCACCATCCTCTAGACCAGTGGTCAGCAAACTCGTTAGTCAACAGAGCCAAATATCAACAGTACAACGATTGAAATTTCTTTTGAGAGCCAAATTTTTTAAACTTAAATTTCTTCTAACGCCACTTCTTCAAAATAGACTCGCCCAGGCCGTGGTATTTTGTGGAAGAGCCACACTCAAGGGGCCAAAGAGCCGCATGTGGCTGGCAAGCTACAGTTTGCTGACCACAGCTAGACACATCACACACACACACACACACACACACACACACACACACACACACGACAATGAACGGGTTGTATAATCTGCAATGGTGTCTGTAATTGTGTGGGTCTGAAACATTTTACTGGCTCATAGAAGATGATAATGCAATCTGAGCAAAGAGGGAAAGAGCAAATAACTTGATTGGGGAAGGACAATTTGCATTCTATTCCATGGCTTCATTGTGTGCAGCTGAGTGGACAGAGCACAGGATTCAGAGTAAAACCCAAGTCTGAGTCCCAGTTCTGCCACTTTGTGGCCTCAGGAAGTGTAAGTAGAGGGACAGTAAACAGCTGTTGATCCCTTCCTGTCCAGCCTCGGAGTTTGACCTCCACCTCTAGGGTGGCCAGGGCTGTGTCCTGGCCAAAAAAGCCCCTGGTCTTGTTGGTAGGACAAAGGAAAAAAAGACTCTCCCAATGTCCATTTATAATATACAGGTAGCAAGTTGGGATTTTTAAAAATTTGTGCTGTAAGATTTCTTAGAGAATTCCTCAGGTTTCAGTTCTCAGACCTTAAGGTAAGTAAATTCTGGGGCTTGCCAAATTCAAAGGAACACCAGCTCTAGTGGCAGTCACCTCATTTCCAGGCAGTTCTTGTCTCTACTTGGAGCATGCCGCTGCCCTGAAAAGCAAGCTGGGCCCCTGCCTCTGCCTCAGTTTCCTCATTTTCTTATTCATAATCAAAGGACGGTCTTAAGTTGCAAAGTAGAGATGCGTGTACGTGACATCATTCCGGAGCCACCAGTAGGGAGAACTGGCGCCCACTGTGTACCTGGGTGACTTTCTCTGGGCCTCAGTTTCTCCATCTGCAAAACGAGGACCCCGGAATGAAATGGAGTCTTGTCAGCTTCTTACAGTGTGGGCATTCAACCTTCCCACAGCGTGCTCCGCCAGGGAGGCCGCGGACAGGGTTAAAACCGCCACTACCTCAGAGGTGAAAAGGTAAGCAAACATTCCGACCTTCCCGGAGCCTGGCGCTCGGATTGGCGCAGGGCAGTGCCCGGGAAGCCCCTCCCGGCCAGCAGCAACCTCCGGCCGGATGGCCACTACCCTCATTAGCATAGATTGCTCCGAAGATCCGGCACCTCTGGCCTGGACCGGAGCCTCCGTCCCTTCAAGGAGGGGACAGCCACTCTGTCCCGAAGGGGGGGTGTGTCTCTGCACCCCATGTACCCCGGCGGGGCGCGCTGTAAATTAAAAATGTCCCCTGTCCAACCACCTTTGCACCCTGGGGACGCCTTGGGGACACAGCGCGAGGGTCCCTGGGGATGCGGACGGGTTTGGTCCCCCGAGCGTGACAGGCTGGCTACCTCTCGCCTCAGGCGGCGGCGGGCTGAAAACCTGGCGGGGCGGGCAGCGCCGCGGGACCCCGGCGCCCTCAGGCCGGAGCCCAGAGCTGGCGCCGAGGCGGCCGCGGGAGGTGGCGAGCGCTGAGGGGGAGAGGTGCGCCGGCCCGCGGAGATCCGGGCTCAGGGGGCGGGGCTTGGGCCGAGGTCTGGCGGCGGGGCTCCCGGGGGGAGGGAGAGGGGCGGGGCCTACTGGGCGGGCAGGGGGCGGGGCGAGCGCCGGCCCGGAGTGGGCGGGGCCGCGGCGCGGGGCGGGCTCTGGCGGCCCGAGTGTCACACACGCGGCGGTTCGGGAGGTGGCGGCAGCGGTAGCGGCAGGCGCCGCCGGGACGGGCACGGGCGCGCGGGCTCGGCAGGGCGCCGGCTGCCTCCCTCGGTCGCTCGTTTTCCGGCTGCGGGTCTAGGATCGTCCCAGCGCTCTCGGGAAGGAAGAAGGGGGGGGGGGTGCCTGAGGACGCCGACAAGTTCGCTCAGCAGCCAGGATCCCGGCCAAGCCGGAGGCTGCGCCTCCGACGGGACAGCAAACAGCGCGCGCCGCAGCTCACGATCGAGCGTCCGAGGCGGGGGGCGCCCGGGCCTTTCGCTCTCGGCGGGGCCGCGGGCCGGGCTCCCATGAGACGCTCCCGCGAGGGGCTCCAGATCCGAAGCCCCGGCAGCGCGCGGCGGAGGCGGAGGGCGGCGCTGCAGCTGCCGGAGCCCGGGAGCCACCGGCAGGAGGCGGCGGAGAGAACTTGAACTTGGCGTCGGGAGCTGGCGCCCCGGACGCCCCCCGCCGGGGCCCGGGCCGGGGCCGGGACCGGGACGCCGAGGAACCTGGGCGGCTGCGCTGCCCCCCGGATGGCCGCGGCCGTGGACCTGGCTCCCGTGCCGCGGCCCTAGGCGGCCTGTCGCCATGGCCAAGTGGCTGAACAAGTACTTCAGCTTGGGCAACAGCAAGACCAAGAGCCCCCCGCAGCCGCCGCGGCCCGACTACCGCGAGCAGCGGCGCCGGGGCGGCGATCGGCCCTCGCAGCAGCCCCCGCAAGCCGTGCCGCAGGCCTCCGCGTCCTCCTCCGCGTCCTGCGGTCCGGCCGCCGCCTCCTGCTTCTCGGCCTTGTCCGGGTCGCTGCCCGACGACAGCGGCAGCACGAGCGACCTCATCCGCGCCTACCGCGCGCAGAAGGAGCGCGACTTCGAGGACCCCTACAACGGGCCCGGCTCGTCGCTGCGCAAACTGCGCGCGATGTGCCGCCTGGACTACTGCGGCGGCGGCGGCGGCGGCGGCGGCGGCGGCGGCGGCGGCGGCGGGGAGCCGGGCGGCGGCCAGCGCGCCTTCTCCGCCTCGTCCGCGTCGGGCGCCGCGGGCTGCTGCTGCGCCTCCTCCGGCGCGGGCGCCGCCGCCGCGTCCTCGTCCTCCGGCTCCCCGCACCTCTACCGCAGCAGCAGCGAGCGGCGCCCCGCCACGCCGGCCGAGGTGCGCTACATCTCCCCCAAGCACCGCCTCATCAAGGTGGAGAGCGCCGTGGGCAGCGCCGCCGGGGACCCCTCGGGGGGCGCCTGCTCCGGCGGCCGCACTTGGAGCCCCACCGCCTGCGGAGGCAAGAAGCTGCTCAACAAGTGTGCCGCCTCGGCCGCGGAGGAGAGCGGGTCCGGCAAGAAGGAGAAGGTAAGGTACCCCCCCGCCCCCCGGCCTCTCTTCAGGGCCACTGGGTTTATGGGGCAACTGAGGCACAGCCTCCGTTCTGAGTCCCTGTATCCACAACTTCTTGCTAGGACCCCTGGGGTCAGGACTCCACGTTCCTTCCTGATTCTGTCCCCTCCGTGCACTTCTTACACCCTCACCCCACCCCCGATCGTCGTCCTCCTGAAATAACTCTCTTTCTCTGCTGCTCCCCAAAACGCCCCCTCTCTGAGCCCACAGCCAGGCGCCCGCTTCGGAAGTTGCCTGACGAGAAAGCCCCGCCCGGCCTTGCCCAAGAACGAGACACCCAGCCAGCCCTTCCCGCCCCCGAGGAGTAAAGTCAGAGTCGGAGCTGTCACGGACTTAAAAAGAGCGCTCACTCTGGTCTCTCTCCTCTTCCCGGACCCCCACCCCCACCCCCCGCGGTCTATTGATGGGAAACCGGTCCAGAGCTGGGGAGGGACTGGCCCCGAATTACTCTGCATTCCAGGTGGCGGATCCGGGCCGGCTGTCTCTCAAAGTGCATATGTAAATCCCTCCAAACGCCCAGCGCGGCCCCACCCCCGGAGCCAAATGCGGGCTGTCTTTTGTGCTGGACCTGCCCCTGAAGCTAAGCCAGCTTTTCCGGGAGGGGGGTCCGCCCTTCGGCTCCGCTGATAGGAGACCCACCCCTCCAATCCTCACCTTCCTTCCTGACCCTGCTTCTACCCCACACCGTCCCAGGGGTGAGGGGGACAACTCTGTGACCACCCTCTGCCTTACGTATCAGGCCATCTTGATTCCCCCCTTTGAAGCAGGCCAGTTAATTACAGCCAGACTGGGCCCTCTCCTCCCCTTCACACTTTTGTGAGCCTCCCTTTCCCCATAAAATGATACTTGTTCCATCTTCTGGTGGAGGCCAGTGTTTTGATTGCATCTGAGGCCTTGTCCTGCTGTGGCTGTCAGGCCGCTGTCCCTCTTGTAAACTTTTGCCCAGGCAGGGTAGTGGGGAGACTGATAAAGAGTCTGAGTTCCTTTTAGGATTAGATGTCCAGCCAAGTGGGAGACAGGCTCCTACCTACTAGCTGGCACTTGGAAATTGATCTTTTTTGTCTCCTGTGGGGAGAAGTAAGGGGTTGCCCACCTTTAATTTTTCTGCCTGGCTTTCTCTCTCTGAGGTCCCAGGTCCCCAGGGTATTCGTTTCCCAATCGGCCTGCTGATGGACAGCATGGGCAGTCTGTGGTGGATCCCACCACTCCCTGGGGTCAGTTTGGGACCACACCTCAGAAGCATGGGCTTTGGGCTTCCTAAGCACCCAGGATGCCCTCATCTAGATGACAAGAACTGGTAGCCAGGTGGCCACCCAGATGCTGCCTTGGGGAAGGGGAGATTTCTCTGAGCCTCCGGGATCACGGGCTTGTAGTTGAACCTGTAAGGAGAACACCAAAGAGGCTCCTGACCACCTTAGGCACAGTCCAGGCTTATCTAGGTGCTGGCCTGGGAGAACCTAAAATTCCTGGGTATGGAAGGTGCCAGGAAGGGCCAGCCAAAGGTGCTGGACTCCCTGACTCCGCCTTGTTACTCCATGGCCACCTGCCAGGCGGGCAAATCTTTCTCTCCTGCTGCTGGTCATCCTGCCTGCTCACTAAAGTCTTCTTCTTTTTCTTTTTCTTTTTTTTTCTTCTTTTTTTCTTTCAAAACTTTAGTAAACATTTTCCCTCACTTACAATTAAGACTATGTCAAATACTGAAGAATAATGCTTGATAGCTGGAATGTCAAGTGTGTTCAAGACTTGGCTTCATTCTGCCATCAATTATTTCTCATGGGTCTTCTTGTGCCCTCGGTTGCTCAGTGCTGAAGCAGCCCCTCTAGCTGAATGCTGTGTCCCAGGCTGAAGAGTACATGAAGACTGCTGTGATGGGGCTTTGTGTTACCTGGGACTGAAGAGGAGGGGTGGTCTGGGAGGGCCTTTATCGTGTTGGAGGGGTGTTGACCTTGGCTGCAGAGGAAAGGCTGGTGCTTCAGGGAGCTGCACGTAAAGTTCCTGTAGCTGAATTGAGAGGTGAGAGTTTGCAGGGCCCCGGAGGGACAGCAGAGGTGGGGTCAGGGAGGTTAAGCACAGTGAGGGCCAAGGAATGGATTTAGCTGCTAAGTGATGTGAGTAGATACAATTTGGGGGGGGGGGGGGAGAAGGGGGGAAGAGATCTCGGGGCTGCTTTTCACATATTGGGTTGTGACTTTGAGCCCTTTGATCTTTGGAGAACTTGTTCCCATTCCATATGCTGAGGACTTGAGGCTACCAGATGTTTTTTTCTAATGAGGAGGAGGGGAACAGCAAGGGAGGGTCACAGTGGACAGTGGCTCTCAAATCATCACCTGGAGGGCTGGTCAAAACACCAATTGCTTGGATCCACCCCTTGGTAAGCCAGGACTGGTGCACCAAGCCTGGTGCGGGGACTGAGGATGTGCATTTCTGACAAGTTCCCAGGTGATCTTTGGCTGCTGATCCTCAACCCACTTTGAGAACCACTAGTGCAACAGTGGCCTCTCCCGAACCCTCCTCCCTCGGGGTCTTCTGATCCGAGCTGTTTGGGGAATGTAGAGACCCCAGATGCCCTCTGTGAGGGGCTGCTGCCTAATCTGGGGCCAGCTTCCAGCCTGGTCAGGCAGCCAGGAGGCAGCCTGGTTTTCACATTATTTTTAGCCAGACAGCTTTTGGAGGCCAGGCATGCTGTAGATCCAGCCCTGAACACCCCAGAGCCTTCCATCTGCCCCTCAACCATGGATCCAGGAACACCTACTTCTAGCACCCTGCTTAATCTCAGGCCCAGCTTCCTTTTATCAGCTGGACAAGAACCTAGAGGGTTGTTGAATGCCCCCCTGTCTGCCAGGCCTGGTGTTTGTTTTCAACATTGGACCTGAGTTGAGAGTTCCTGTGTATGGCTTGGAATAGAAGCTGCCAGTCCACAGATCCTTTCTTCAGTGCCTCTAGTTCATTCTCCCCGACCTCCCACAGTATCTGTGCCTCCCTCTGTCACATACTTAGGCATCCTCCTATTCTCCCAGGTGAGTCCTGGGGTTCACACACACCTGGTCACCAAAGCCACTAGCATCATGGGCATTTTTCCTGTTAGAGTCATGTGGGAGAACTGTGTTTTCAATGGAACCAGTTTTCACTCGGCACATCTATTATGTTCAGAGATCTTTTGGTACCAGGGTGAGTTAGGAGGGGAGGGAAGAAAGGCTGCCGAAGATTTGTCAGGAATCTCTGGCCTATGCCGCTGGAGGAGACGGACACGCTGTCTTTTCGTCATTTGTCTCCCAGTGGTTTTGTCTTGGAAAATTTAACAAGTCTTCACCTAGGAGGCAACTTTGAGCTGAACCTAGAGGTGGAAGTGGAATTTCATTGCAAAGAAAGGGGTGACTGCAGCCTGCAGGAGCACTAGTGTGTCAGTGCTGTGTGTGTACACGTGAATATGAAAGTGTGTCCCCGTGTGCGTGTGGTTATATATGTGTATGTACATGTAAAACCTCAGTGAGGAGCTTCTTCTTTGAAACCAAAGGTTTTTTGCAATGGGACTCGCCTGGGGAATGAAAGATGACAATATGAGAGAGATGGGGGCCTGACTTTGTACCCACCCCCATCCCGGGGGGTAAGCCAGGGATGAGATGGATTTGTAGAATGGTAAGCCAGGAATGAGATGGATTTCGTCAAAGCCATGGTTGGGGAGCATCCCAGGCTATATAAACAGCTGCCACAATCTGGGGAAGATGGTGTCAGAGTTAGAGGACAATTGCAGTATAGTCCAGTGGAGAAACAGTGAGGACCTGAGTGCCTGGGAAGAGAGAACAAACCTTTATTAGGTGGAAATATTATTCCTCCAGGTTGTCTTTATTTAAAAATGATGATAGCCCAGCTGGCATGGCTCAGTGGTTGAGCGTCGACCTATGAACCAGGAGGTCACGGTTCAATTCCTGGTCAGGACTTGATCCCCAGTGTGGGGTGTGCAGGAGGTAGCCAATCAATGGCTCTCATCATTGATGTTTCTATCTCTGTCTCCCTCTCCCTTCCTCTCTGACATCAATAAAAATATTGATAAGTAATAGAAGAGGCCAGTAACTTGGTAGTTATTTTGGGCAGCCAAGCAGTCCTCATCCAGTTGTTTTCTGCTGAAGTCTTGTTTCTTTTATCATTAAGTAAATGTTTCCACCACAGCTGAAAAAGTCAAGACGCATCATGACATCAGTTTTAAATACACACTAATGCATACCGACACTTTATATTTTGTCGGCATCCACAGAGTTGAGTTAAATAACATGTTTCCTAAGGAATAAATAATATTGTGTCTAACCTTTTTTTTTTTTTTTTTTTTTTTTCTTAAGAGGAAAAAAAGCACACATTTAGCAAACAGTTTCTGAGCAGCCTGCTAAGCAGGGGGAAGTCAGAGAAAATAAATGGTGGTTAGCCTTCAAAGACGGGAGAATCTCAGTTTGTAGTTGAAGACACTCAGTTTGCAGCTTCTCAGGAACAATACCATGACCCAAGAAATGCTAGTGTGTGCCTAGGGATAGGAGGGCTCAACTCTCTGTCTGAGAAGTCAAAGAAGGCTTTCAGGAGGAGGCACTGTTTGAGCTGACTGGAAGGATGAGTGGGAATCCCCAGGCTGGGGCGTGAAGAGGAAGGCTCTCCATGCAGAAGGGATAGAACAGCTGTGCTCAGGCCTGAAGGCGTGGGAGAGAATGGTTGGAGGCCCAGCAGGGCAGGAGTGGTGGGGTATGGCAGAGGGAGGTTGGAGCCACAAAGGGAAGAGAATATCTCATGTGCCTTGCTGGGAAGCTGTGACTTGTCTTTTGGTCTTTTTCACATTAAATCATTGATGTGTGGCTTGATTGACACCAGGGCAAACATGATTTGTCAAGTCATTTCCAGTTGGCTAATGGTCACACTCTCCAGCTCTAAGAAAGTAATTGACTAAAAAGGTTAGAGCCATACTTGGTAGTTGT